CTGCTAAACCTCGCTAGGATTTGGAGTCGAAAGGTGTATTGTTGAATCTGTAATTATTAAAGAAAGTTTGAAATCTCAGGTTGATGTGCTTGAGTACGTTCAATTAGTAAGAGTCGCTGTTGAGTAGTCGTCCTCTATGTTTTCTATGCTTTAACTATTATTTTGGTGTCGAGCTATCATTCCGTCGCTTTCAAATGAACGATGTGTTCAGTTTTGTGATGGTTAAGCGAGCATGGAACTATGACGTTTAGTCTCATGATGTATGTTTTCTAGACTTTAAGTGATTTGTTCTTGTGAAATCTTCCTCATTTACTAAAGGCATCAAACATAATCATTCTCTTTATTTGAACAGTTGGTTTTTCATAGTGTTGTTGGTCAGAATTTTAGTCATGTTGTTAAAGAACGATTGCTTCATAAGATGAGATTTTCCTTGTGCTTCTTCTGTGCATATGGTATGCTTCGATATTCAAGTTAATCTGCTTGTATCTTCTGTCTTGATCTCAATGTGCTCGACATGATTCACTGAAGAGTTTCCCCTTTCTCTGATTTCATGATCATTTTCGCATGTCTTGCTGGCTTGAATCTGTTGAAGTTCCCCTTTGATAATATTTGCTCTATGAGGCTCGCCATGTTGAAGGGATTAGTGGTTGTACATGTTTATTTTCAGCATGTAACTTCTGTCACTAAACTTCTTAAAACAGAATTAAACATGAAATTTGTGTAGTAGTATGGCACTACTATTATGGCTGCCCAGTAGCCCTCAAAGTTGGTACATGTGGGGATGAGTTTTAAAAAAAAAGAATTCTTGTTTGTGTGTGGAGTTTAAACTTGCAATAATCCATGAGACTCCTTCTAATCACTGTTCATTTGATGGTCAACTAGTTCGGCAGCTTAGGGATATTAATTAAACTTTGATTTGTTTGGTTTTCACTTGTATGGGTTGGGGTGACTAATTGCACATCATCTGAGTGAGTTGTCAATAAGGGGCATGTTCATGTGTTCGTACCTTATGTATTCTGGACTGTATCTGTTGGTTTTGTTCGAATTCCATCATTGTTAGCTGCGCAATCCCGTCTGTTGTAGATGCTAGAGTATTTCGGCATCTGAAACTTCTTGAGCTAGATTGTTTGAGCCATGGGGGTACTGTGTTGTCATTATTTCGCTGATTCTGCGTAGCTAGGCCCCACCAGTTCTTCTTCACCTCTATTTGGTCTAATTCTTGCTTGTTTCGTTGTTGTCCGGAGTGTGTTTGCAGTTTAAATGACTACTGCAAGAGTTTTTACTGTTATGAAATCTGCATATATGTATTCATTTCAATACTCTGTCAAAGGAACTGTGAACCATTATCGTGCTTCCTCTGAGTTTATTGCGAGTCTTGTAGCTCCCTTGCTGGTGTAAGCTCAAAGCAAGTGTTAAGAACCTTGTGTGCTATTCTGTGTCATCTATTAGAGTTAGCCGTTGGTTTAGTTAGGATAAAAATCAGTCCAAGTTCGTGATAGTCTCAGCTTGACTGAATTATTTGTTCAGTTGAATCTATCTTCCATGATTGAAACTTGTCCCACCTAAATGGGAGTTATGGCATCTGTTAAATTGGTTGCACATTAAGAAATGAAACTGATGTCCATGTTTGGTAGCTTGAAGATCTTTTTTGCTTCTTTGAGCTTCGCCATTGCAGTTTGAAGAAATCGATAGAGCTAAACTTTTTGATTTTAACCACTAGTTGATTTGGCTTTTGTTGCTGTGATTCTGTGATAAACTCAGCATGTTAGTGGCTAAATGTAAATGTCACTGTTTGGTATTATTTGTTTAGTTAAATGATATTCTCTACTCAATTGTGATTATCGAGTGCCTAGTTCCACATCCCCACTAAGAATGAATAGCATAAGTTAAACATGTATCAATTGTATGAGTCTGTTCAATCAATTCCTGATGCATTGGTTTGGCTTTTCCTTAGTTCATAAGCTCTTGATCTTCCCACATAATCCCTAGATATAAAAATGACAAATATTCGTAGCAAGCCTTCAGGGCCGTTTAAAATACGATTGTGGTTGCGTATACGTTCGCGTAACATGACCATGATCCTAAATTAATTCGGAGTATGCGTTCGCGCAACTTTGCTCCATCTTTTCTTAATAATAAAATAGGTTACAAGCTTTTAATCTTTTTTTTTAGTTCATGTAAGTTCATCAAAATCACATATGGCCTTTTAGTAATTTTGTAGGCTAGATAAAAATAATATTTCGTAGAATATGCTTTAAGGCCGTTTGAAAATACCAAGTGTGGTTGCGTATACGTCCGTGCAACACAACTACACTTCTAAAAATAAAACTGGAGTATGCGTTCTCGCAACTTCGGTCCAAACTTTTCTTAATAATAATTAAGCGTCATTGATTGTGGACACGTTCGCGTGACATGATTTTTGACGCATCAAACGGGCAGGTATACGTAGGCGTAACCCGTCTGAAGATAATTTTCTAATTAAATACGGTGAAAGAAACAAATGCACATAGGTTTAAAATCAGTAATTAAACAATTTTCGTAAGCCAAGTATTATCAAAGCGACCGTGCTAGAACCACGGAACTCGGGAGTGCCTAACACCTTCTCCCGGGTTAACAGAATTCCTTACCCGGATTTCTGATTCGCAGACTATATAACAGAGTCATTCTTCTTCTCGATTCGGGATTCTAAACCGGTGACTTGGGACACCATAAATCTCCCAAGTGGCGACTCTGAATTTTTTAAAAATAAATCCCATTTCGATTGTCACTTCAAGTTGGAAATAACTCCCTTTATTATACCCTCTTCCGGGAGTGTAGTAAGGAAAAAAGGAGGTGTGACACCCATTATGATATTCTTGATTGTCATGCGAGAACCGTGACACTGGCTATGCCAAATGTACCGCGAGTAGAGTGGAGGGGTACTTTAGATCATACTTCCAGTAGAGTTATTTCATTCCTTAAGGCTCAGTGTATGGTTGAGAAGGGGTGTGACGCGTATCTAGCTTATGTGAGAGATGTCAGTATTGATACCCCTACAGTTGATTTTGTCCCAGTAGTACGGGATTTCTCTGATGTGTTTCCATCTGACCTTCCGGGCATGCCACCCAATAGAGATATTGATTTTGGCATTGATCTATTGCCGGGCGCTCAGCCCATTTCTATTCCTCCGTTCGTATGGCTCCTCCTGAGTTGAAGGAGTTGAAGGAAAATTACATCAATTACTTGATAAGGGTTTCATTCGGCCCAGTGTATCACCTTGGGGTGCTCCTGTCTTATTTGTGAAGAAGAAGGATGGTTCTATGCGTATTTGTATTGATTATCGCCAGTTGAACAAGGTTACAGTGAAGAACCGTTATCCTTTGTCTCGTATTTATGACCTTTTTGATCAGTTACAGGGTGCTTGTGTGTTTTCTAAGATTGACTTGCGTTCAGGCTATCATCAGTTGAAGATTCGGGAGCCAGATATCTCGAAGACTGCCTTCAGGACTCGGTATGGTCATAAAGAGTTCCTTGTTATGCCATTTGGGCTGACTAATGCCCCAGCAGCCTTCATGCATCTGATGCACAGTGTATTCCGGCCATATCTTGACTCATTCGTTATTGTCTTTATTGATGACATTATGGTATATTCCCGGAGTCGGGAAGATTATGAGCAGCACCTGAGGACAGCGCTCCAGACTTTGAGGGAGAAGAAATTATATGCTAAGTTCTCGAAATGTGAGTTTTGGTTGTATTCTGTGGCATTCTTGGGTCACGTGGTATCTAGTGAGGGGAAAGGTGGATCCGAAAAAAGTGGAAGCAGTGCAGAGTTGGCCCAGACCATCCTCAGCTACAGAGATCCGCAGTTTTCTTGGCTTGGCGGGTTATTACTGAAAGATCTTAAATACTCTTGCCTTATGTTTTGATGATCTAACAAACTTACTGTTGAGAACCAGATAGGGAACCTGACCTACTTGAATTACTGCAAGCTTTAACGGATTCCAGCTAAAGGTGAACTGCTACAGCTTCAGGAGCTAGGAACCAACACAAGGACCTGATGCTCTTGTGGTTTCCTCGTAGCAGTACAAAGTCAATTGGACACAGCTGGAAATGAAGTGACTAACGGCACTGTTTCTGCCGCAGTACAGTACTGTCCGCCCACTCATTCTCTAACCAAACAAAGTACTCACATCACTTCAAGTGATGTGATCAAGATGTACCCACAATGAGCTTTATAAAAAATATGACTGGAAGGCTTCTGTTTCTCATTCAAGCCTCTTGCAAAAAATAACAAGAAAATCAATCCTCATAGGCTTAAAGAACAATGTTGAACGCTACTACGGACCAGTTCCTAAAAGATAGATTGTTGTTGTCCTAGTTGAGTTGTAACCTTGTTATTGTACCAATTGTATCTCTTAAATAGCTTATCTAGAAGCATTTTGATTAGGAATCCTCTTGTAAATCCGTAAACTCCTTGAGTTTATGTTGTGACTAGATTTAGTCATAAGGAAAATTCTTTGTAATCGTAGAGTTACAAAGTGGCTTGTGGTGGTAGCATCACAAGTTAGAAAAAGCCTTTGTAACTAGGATAGTCACAAAGTGGCTTGTGGTAAAGGTACCACAAGTTAGTTGAGTAAATCCAATGCAATAGGAAGTATTGTAAAGTGGCTTGTAATAGGTAGATTACAAGATAGTAAAGTTAAAAGCCTACAAGTGTAGGTCGTGGTTTTTGATCCCATTGTGTGGAATTTTTCCACGTAAAAATCCTCTGCCTCATTTACTTACTGTTTCATTAAGTGCTTTCAGTAGAACCTTGTAGAGGACCAGGTACTCTACGATTTGGTGGACCCATACAAACTTACATTTGGTATCAGAGCGGGTTCCTCCTATCAGGGTAACACCTAGGAAGGATCCTCATGGCGGCTCCACTAAATTTTGAAGAAGGTAAATCCATATACCAACCTCCCGAGTTTGATGGAAAATGCTATTGGTGGTGGAAGGCTAGAATGCACGATTTCATCATGGCTGAGGATTGTGAGCTATGGGATATCAGTTTCGATGGTCCTTATGTTCCAATCAAGGTACTAGATGAATTTCCATTTTCAACGGAAAAAACTAGCAAAGAATACACTAAAGAAGACAAGAAAGCTGTGGAGAAGAATTTTCGTGCCAAGAAAATTCTAGTATATGGAATGGAACCTAAAGAGTACGACAGAATCTCTACCTGCGACACTGTAAAGGAAATATGGGAGGCTTTGCAAACAGCTCATGAAGGAACTACACAAGTAAAACAAGATAAACCTAACACTGGTGATAGTTCCATGATGATAGTTGAAGGCGATGAGATTGGATATGACTCAACGTTTACTTTGATGGCTCAATCAGATGATGATGAAGACAATGGCGACAAATAGGTAAACTTCAGAGATGTTCAGAGAAATCTGAAATCCTATTCTCCAAAAAAAACTCATGTGTTTAGCTGATATTTTAGTTACTGCCTTTTGTAGTCTTGCGGAGGATAGAGATTCCTTAATCTTAGAACTAGAAGAATCTGAACGTACTAGAGAAGACTTAGTGGCTGCAGTTACTGATCATAAGAAAACCACTAAAATTCTTAGAAAAGAAAAGAGCGATCTGTTGACAGAAATTGCAGACCAAAGGGATACAATAGTAAAACCATCGACTAAGTCAAAACCTGAAAGTTCTGAAAGAGGAAAGGAGATAGCAAGTGAGGAATACCTTAGGCTTGAAGACGAGGTGAAAGCTATGAGATGCAGGATGTGTGCTGAAATTGAGAAAAATAATCTCCTCCAAGCCAATCTAGAAAAATTAATGAATGATCTTGAAAGGTCTCTAAAGTGGACCCGGTCCTCAGAAGCTACCACTGCTTTGCTTACTAATAATAGTAAAAAAAGGCAGGGAGCAGGGTTCCAAAGGGAGAAAACCTCTCACAACCCTCACAGTAAGAACGTCGCTGTATCTGATAACTGGCCTCGTACCCAATGTGGGAACACTGGGTGCTTCAAGGAAGGCGTCCAGGCTAAGAATCAATCAGTTCAGAAAGAAAAAGTGGCTGCTGAAACCGTGACCACAAAAGAGGGACCAGGTTCCACTCACAAAAAATGCACATTACCTGCATGGACTAAGAGAGCTCTTATTTATCCTCTTGCTTACTACAAGGGACCCAAACTTGTTTGGGTTCCTAAAACTAACTCCTAAATCTCTTGTGCAGGGAACAGTGAAAGGAAGCGGTCAACAATAGTTCACGGATAGTGGATGTTCAAAACACATGACTGGGAACACCACAGACTTTGTTTTACTAAAAGCCCTGCAAGGAGGGAGTATATCCTTTGGTAATGGAAAAAAGGGGTACATTCTTGGAGTTGGAAAAGTTGGGAAGTCACTCACTCACTCTATTGAGAATGTGTACTATGTCAATGGGCTTAAGTACAGTCTCTTGAGTGTTTTTCAAATTTGCGATAAAGGAAACAAGGTGGAATTCTTGTCCAAAATATGTACAGTCACTGACCTTGTGACCGGTGAAATAGTACTGGTGGCCAAAAGATGCAAGAACATCTATGTTGTTGATTTCGAATCTTTACAGAGTGGTAATCTGAGTTGTCTGAAGGCTGTTGATGATGCTGAACTTTGGCACAGAAGATTGGGCTATGCAAGCTTTTCTCTTCTGAACAAACTAATTCAGAAGGACCTGGTCCATGTCTGCCTGTGTCAAAATTCAAGACTCAAAAGGTCTGTGATGTCTGTGCTAGAGAAAAACATGTGAAGTCCTCCTTTAAGTCAAAAAGAGATGTGAGCACCTTAAGGCCGCCCACTCATTCTCTAACCAAACAAAGTACTCACATCACTTCAAGTGATGTGATCAAGATGTACCCACAATGAGCTTTACAAAAAAACATGACTGGAAGGCTTCTGTTTCTCATTCAAGCCTCTTGCAAAAACAAACAAGAAAATCAATCCTCACAGGCTTGAAGAACAAGGTTGAACGCTACTACGGACCAGTTCCTAAAAGATAGATTGTTGTCCTAGTTGAGTTGTAACCTTGTTGTTGTACCTATTGTATCTCTTAAACAGCTTATCTAGAAGTATTTTGATTAGGAATCCTCTTGTAAATCCGTAAACTCCTTGAGTTTATGTTGTGACTAGATTTAGTCATAAGGAAAATTCTTTGTAATCATAGAGTTACAAAGTGGCTTGTGGTGGTAGCATCACAAGTTAGAAAAAGCCTTTGTAACTAGGATAGTCACAAAGTGGCTTGTGGTAAAGGTACCACAAGTTAGTTGAGTAAATCCTTTGCAATAGAAAGTATTGTAAAGTGGCTTGTAATAGGTAGATTACAAGTTAGTAAAGTTAAAAGCCTACAGGTGTAGGTCGTGGTTTTTGATCCCCTTGTGTGGGATTTTTCCACGTAAAAATTCTCTACCTCATTTACTTACTGTTTCATTAAGTGCTTTCAGTAGAACCTTGTAGAGGACCAGGTACTCTACGATTTGGTGGACCCATACAAACTAACAATTACCATCGATTTGTTCAGGGGTTTTCATCCGTTGCAGCACCTATGACCAGACTGACCCAAAAGGGTGCTCCGTTCCAAGAGTGTGGGGAGAGCTTTCAGAAGCTCAAGACAGCTTTGACTACGGCCCCAGTTTTGATATTGCCTACCGGTTCGGGGTTTTATACTATCTATTGTGATGCCTCGAGGGTTGGACTTGGAGCGGTATTGATGCAGGACGGTAGTGTGATTGCCTACGCGTCTAGACAGTTGAAGGTACAAAAGAAGAATTATCCCGTCCATGATCTCGAGTTAGCTGCTATTGTTCACGCCTTGAAGATCTGGCCTCACTATTTGTATGGTGTGCCTTGTGAGATTTATACAGATCAGCGGAGTTTGCAGCATCTGTTCAAGCAGAAGGACCTTAATTTGCGCCAGAGGAGGTGGCTAGAGCTGCTAAAGGAGTATGATATCACTATTTTGTATCACCCGAGCAAGGCCAATGTGGTGGCCGATGCTTTGACCCACCGAGCAGAGAGTTTGGGGAGTTTAGCTTATTTACCAGCAGCAGAGAGGCCCATGGCGATGGATGTTCAGGCCTTAGCCAGCCAGTTTGTGAGGTTGGATCTTTCGGAGCCCAATCAGGTTCTAGCTTGCGTGGTCTCTCGGTCTTCCTTGTTTGATCGTATCCGGGAGCGTCAGTTTGATGACCCTCATTTACTTGTCCTCAAGTACAAGGTCTTGCATGGCGATGCTTGAGATGTGACTATTGGTGATGATGGGGTATTGAGGATGCAGGGTCGAGTTTGTGTACCCAATGTTGATGGGCTTCTGGAGTTGATTCTAGAGGAGGCCCATAGTTTGCGGTATTCCATTCATCCGAGTGCCGCAAAGATGTACCAGGATTTGAGACAACACTATTGGTGGAGGTGGATGAAGAAAGATATAGTTGGGTTTGTAGCTCGATGCCTTAATTGTCAGCAGGTGAAGTATGAGCACCAGAGACCGGGTGGATTGCTTCAGCGGATAGAGATTCTGGAGTGGAAGTGGGAGCGGATCACCATGGACTTCGTAGTTGGCTCCCACGAACTTTGAGGAAGTTCGATGCCATTTGGGTGATTGTGGATCGGCTGACCAAGTCCGCACATTTCATTCCTGTGAGTACTACCTATTCTTCGGAGCGGTTGGCGGAAATTTATATCCGAGAGATTGTTCTTCTACATGGTATTCCAGTTTCTATCATTTCAGATAGAGGTACTCAGTTCACATCGCGGTTCTACAGGGCCGTACAGAATGAGTTAGGTACTCGGGTGGAGTTGAGTACAACATTTCACCCTCAGACGGATGGACAGTCCGAGCGCACTATTCAGATTCTTGAGGATATGCTCCGTGCGTGTGTGATTGAGTTTGGAGAGTCTTGGGATCGGTTCTTGCCATTGGCGGAGTTTGCCTACAACAACAGTTATCAGTCCAGCATTCAGATGGCACCGTATGAAGCTTTATATGGTAGGCGGTGTAGATCTCTGATGGGTTGGTTCGAGCCGGGTGAGGCTAGATTATTGGGCACAGACTTGGTACATGATGCTTTGGAGAAGGTTAAGGTGATTCAGGATAGACTTTGTACAGCCCAATCCAGAAAGAAGAGTTACGCGAACCGGAAGGTTCGTGATGTTTCTTACATGGTTGGAGAGCGGGTCCTGCTTCGGGTTTCGCCTATGAAGGGCGTTATGAGATTTGGGAAGAAAGGAAAATTGAGTCCGAGGTTTATTGGCCCTTTTGAGATATTGAGGCGTGTTGGGGAGGTTGCCTATGAGCTTGCCTTACCTCCCAGCTTGGCAGGAGTTCATCCGGTATTATATGTTTCGATGCTCCGGAGGTATCACGGTGATTCATCGCACGTGTTGGATTTCAGTTCAGTCCAGTTGGACTAGGATCTATCTTATATTGAGGAGCCGATGGCGATATTGGACAGGCAGATTCGAAAGCTGAGGTTAAAGAACATTGCATCGGTGAAAGTCTAGTGGCGGGGCCAGCCGGTCGAGGAGGCAACTTGGGAGATCGAACAGGATATGCGCAACCGTTACCCTCATCTTTTTACTACTTCAGGTATGTCTCTATGCTCGTGCGAGGACGAACGAACGTTTAAGTATGGGAGGATGTAACGACCCGGCCGGTCGTTTTAAGAATTTACGCCTCGATCCCCTATTAACTGCATTCCCCGTGTTTGTTTCTACTATTGTGAGTTGCCGGGAGGATTTAATTGGAGTTTCGGAGAGTTTTGGGACACTTAGTCCCTAAATGAGAGTTTAAGTTCTAGAATTTGAACCGTAGTCAGAACAGTGTGAAGACGGCCTCGGAATGGAATTTCGTTGGTTCCGTTAGCTCCGTTGGGTGATTTCGGGTTTAGGAGCGTGTTCGGATTGTGTTGTGGAGGTCCGTAGCTTAATTAGGCTTGAAATGCCGAAAGTTGAATTTTTGAAGTTTCCGGTTCGATAGTGAGATTTTGATATCGGGGTCGGAATGGAATTCCGGAAGTTGGAGTAGCTTCGTAGTGTTGAATGTGACGTGTGTGAAAAATTTCAGGCTATTCGGACGAGGTTTGGTAGACTTTTTGATCGAAAGCGTAATTGAGAGTTTTTGGAGTTCTTAGGCTTGAATCCATGGTTAATTCGATGTTTCGATGTTGTTTTAGGTGTTTTAAGGATTGGTGTAAGTTTGGATAGTTATATGACTTGTACGTGCTTTTGATTGAGGTCCCAGGGGCCTCGGGATGATTTCGGATGATTGACGGAGAGTTAGGCATTGGAGTTGGCAGCTGAAGCTGTGTTTTCTGTCATAACCGCACCTGCCGCTAGGGGACCGCAGGTGCGGGCTCGCAGAAGCGCCTAGTAGGTCGCAGATGCG